TTACTTTAATGGTAGTAATACATAAGGGGAAGATAGCATATAAAAACATAGTAAAGGAAGGAGGAATTAGTTCGTAGAAAGAAAGATATGAAGCGATTTTAATCTCTTAGTTTAAGGAAAGACAGAGTGTATACACCGACGCGATTGTGATCGATTCTGAGCCATGTCACACAAAGTCTCCAACTATTAGTTGTGATAATCACGTGGACCCCAACCAAGTAGTCTGCATCTACCAACATGGCTCAGACCAGAAGTTAGTGACTCCAAGCACTTATGCCATGTTTTGGTTTGGCCTCCCTTAACTTTCTTCCAACTACCCCTTACGGTAGTCAACATTAATTCCAACAGCACCCATTAATGAGAAACATGCCACTAGGTTACCTGCTGTGGAACCTGGTCCTTATGATTATGTCTTCTGTTTTCAAATATTTCATCGAATTATGCTTCATGGAACTCTCATAATGTACAGAAGGATTTTCTAAAGCTTAATAGCTTTCCAATTTATGTGATCTTGAGTTGTGAACCCTTGTGTAGTTATCTTTATTGATTGGTTTCGAATGATACTGATGACTAGAATAAAGCTTAATAATAGTTGAATAGGTGTGTGAAAGTTCACTGAGTTTCTGTCTTCATAATTACACCCATAGAAAGGACTCTATTGATTTGCATGAAAGAGAAAACCATTTACAATTTACTAATGATTTGATATAAATTCTCTAATATACCTGAGATATCAGAAGATGAAAAAAATTAAAATGGAAAATTAAATTACTAAACAATACAATTTTTTGAATACCCTATGCACTTAACATCAGGATTCATTCGACAGACAGCAATAAATTCTCACATTATACTTAAACTTCAGTGTAAACAATTTAAGGAGATATCTAAATCTTATTATCCACATTGTGTTACAAAGATTCTGAAATAAACTTGTAATCACTTTATTTAAAACATGTGGTTACGTAACTGTAAAGTATAGTTCTTACGAAATAGAATACCATGATCAGTATAGGGTTGTGGAGATCATTAAGTTTCTGATGGAGATCATGAACTGATTGGTGTAATACCACCACTCAAAGGCTGGAAGCACTGGATGGCCGTTTCGTCCTGTTGTGGAACTTCTCAACAGTGCGCATCCACGATACCACTTGCTTCCGGGTTTTCAATGGTGGTCTAACATCAATCAGTTACATGATCTCAGTTAAAGACTTGGTAATCTCCACAACCCTATACTGATAATTACCATGTACTCACTAGTGACTAGCTTCGTGACGGAATTCTCGGAATTCTAGTGAGAAGCCGTGACCAGTGGAGCTAATGCGTGTCGGGTAGAGACAAGCATCCACCTCAATAAAATGGAAAATGGTCGCGCAATTTCATGGAACCTCGAGAGCAGGATCACTGGTGTGCACTGCTGAGGAGTCCCAAGATAGGACGAAACGGTCGTCGAATGCTTCCAGCCTTTCAATGGTGGTCTAACATCAATCGGTTCATAATCTTGATCAGAATACTATGAACCGTTATTTCAAACTTATTTGTGTGGATAGTTTATGATTACAAAATAACTCAAAGTGTATATTTTCTTGGTATAACAAAATTATTTCTATACCATTTGGATATCTTTCTGCACTTTAAGATTGTTGATTTCTAAAGAACATCGTAATAGAATCTCAGTAAATCAGTGAAAATTGTCTCTTCATTAGTTTATTGTAAAAAAAGGACTTATAATCTATAATACCATATTCGATCAATTAGTATTATCGATCACATGAAATAAATATAAAAATGCGCGAACTGAAAATGAACTTATATTAAATCATTACTTTCATGAGATTAATAGAAACTGATCTATTTTCGGCATTGTAAAACGTGTTTTGTAGTTGCATTAAAGTATTAAGGTTCACTCAATTTAGTTCGGGAACATAGTGTATATGTACATGTGGTTTATATGTAAGCAGTAATATATTGAATGATATAGAATGGACTTGATTATATATTATTTAGTTAAATATTTTTTTACCTTTCCACGTGTTTTACTCATTTCAGTTTTGTTCGCTCATATCAGTTATTCATTTTGTTGATGATTTTTAAAAGTATGAATAACTGCACTGGTGTTGACATTCTTTAGGAACTAACAATCGAAATTCATAAATTTTTGATTGGTTAGTATGAGAAGGCCTCATTACATACTTCTCTGAATGCTTCAGAAACCACTACAGAGAGAAAATTCTTTCTCAAAGATTTGAACTGTATATTTCATACAATAAGCTGAAATAAATGGGTTCAGGGTATTACTTTAAAAGTCTTCAAAATCAGTAGATTTCAGCTTATTACAAAAGGTTATTGCGAATGAACAAAACATTGGAGACATATTTATTGAGGTATGTTTTAAAATTAACTTGCTCATACACAAATTTAAACCATACGCTTACCTCAAAAGACACCATGATCTTGGGTGACTTTTGCTCTGAAATATTGAGGGTTAGACTATGTGATGCGGAAAAGGTGGGTTATGACTCTTTTAATGTAGTCAGATGATTCATCATTATCTAATGGAGAAAATACAGCAAAATATCTGAGATGGTACCATGGATCCGGTCTTGAAGGCTGACAAGGATTAATACTGACCTCCAGTCGCGTCAGGCATGTCGCAGATCAGCAGACATTGTAGGATTACGTAATCTCCACATACTCCTTGGAACTGTATAGGTTTTTTCAGTGGAGAGTCATAGCGTGGTAAAAGCTAGTCATGATATGGGGCTTCTGTCGGCTTCTGAAGCATGACTAAGGACTGGTCTGGAACGGCCGAAGCTCATGAGAACTTTTACCTCCTAGTCCTTTTGCCAAAGAGTTGTTCAATCTTGTCTCATGGGGGTACAAAAGAAGTTAGAGAGGTTAGTCAATCATAATCTAAATGTCTCCATTGAGTCGCTGTGAAAAGACCATCTATTGGTAGCTCTTTTGACTGACAGTTAATGCATGGCATCAATACCGTTAGTTAAGTCCGTTATTACAGTACTTCTAATGGCAAGGGAGACGATTCCTCTGAGCTGTGAAAAAGAAAATGAGAAAATGGGGAGTAAAGTGGTTGAAGGGATTAGGTTGTTCGTAAGCAGGTCTAGTTGTCATGTTCATGATTCTATTAACAATCTGTTCAATGAATTATGTGGTAAAAAATCACTCAGTATGCATGTTTCGTTTGGTAAAGAGTGGCGCAAGTTTTAGGGCTATTGGTACTTCTTGCATTATTTGGAAGCCGCTAATATGCAGAGTCTATAGAAGTGTAAGAGTAATTTTCCTCCAACTGGTTAAACTACATCCATGTAGATATTACCTACGAACTTAACGTTTCTCATTCGTCTAGAGCTTTGTCTGCATTTTAGTTTATGTGATATCCAATTGCATGATTTCATCATGTGTTATTTGTCATAAACAATAGTAGTGGTCACTATCGGCACTAATATTCGTCTCATTGTGACCTATAAGGACAATACATAGTGGTGTATAAATTAATTTAATATTTATTGGATAAAGAGATTCAACTAACTATGAATGTACTATATAGTATTTGTACATTCTAACCTGTCAAAGACTGATGACAATAAGCTATGAATTAGGCGTCTTAAGAACAGTACAAACTTTTGGATTCACAAGCAGGAAACTAAGATGCGGAATACCTATGGTGATTATTATTAAGCTCTCATACATATAGAATAGATATTTCGTTAGTTTTCTAAAATCAAACAAAAGAAAATAGATATTCGATGCTGAATATTACAATATTTCTTTCATCTTCTTGGGCGATACAAGATATAGAAATTTATCATTCCGTTTAGGACGTTTTACATTCGGAAAATGGGAACATTCAACAAGAAGACATGTTGGTTGAGAATTCTTAGTGGAATCGTGATTAGAGTGTATACACTAAAACGTAACACGTGCTCAGCGTTCTCTTATTTTCAATCATTGTCAAGCTAACTTCAATTTATAATGTAAAATATTCTTAAATTGGACGATTTGTAGGCAGACATTTATTGTCCTTCAAGTTCTTTTTGTTATGTCCTCAGCCCCGTCTAATATCACGTGACAAAATCGTCAATCAGAGCACCGACTTATACTACGGTGTGTGCCACTGGTGTCGACAGATGTAAGTAGTATGCATCATCATTCGAAAATGAAATGCCTGGAGGCAGAAGGTTAGGAAAATCGAAGAAAAGAAGACAAGAACAGAGAACGATTGGTGTAGAAACAAAGTAACAATGAAGTCTGAGACAATTGATTGACATTCTGCGAATGAAGTACTTAATGTATGGTTCTCAGATTCTACTAAGACGTTTTGTAATTTTGTATTCAAATACATTTGATTGTCTCCACTGGTGTTTTCGTTCACTATAATACGACCTTGGCTCTGTGCCGAACCGATGACGCGTTAACCTAAATTCAACTCTGAGTCCTTATTGGTTCTCTTTATAGTAGTTTCTCACATAACCTTGCCCGTTGAGTCCAGAAAGCAATCTCAGCTCCTACTGTATGAGTCATGTACAAGTTATTGCACATGCAAACCAGATCGCATCATACCATCAAATAGAAAATAACAATCATACACGATCGAGCGAAAAGTGACTATGAGTGTGAGATACTGTAACTAATAAATCGGAACTAAATTGGGAATGGTAAATTGTATCTCAATAGCCAATAGGTCAAATGAAATTTATGATAAATATATATAATCTAGTTATTTAATAGTTATATAATAAGAATATATATAATAGTAGTCTATAAATAGTTCCCAGAAGTTATCTATAATTTAATCTTCTTCGAACACAGCATTTTTCACTTGTGGAATAAGTCCTATTCGAAATTCCAGATTTTCTAAAAGAGTTTATAGCTTTTGATAGAATATAAACATTTATATGCTTCTGACGATCTAACCGTGGACAATGTGACTGTAACCAAAGTTTTAATTTATGATTTTATTTAATGTAACTTTCACTCAGGAATGATTGCTGCTACTAAGAAAGGATTACATTACCTTTTGGATAAGAATAGTTGCAAACAAACAGGAAATTTTGTCGTTGTCGTTCTTGGTGGGGCTTCCGAAGCCTTAGATTCAAGACCTGGAACATATGTGATGCACATTAATCAACGTTTTGGTTTTTTCAAGTTGGCCTTACAAACTGGGTAGGTGTTGCGTGAAATGTAATCATTTTCTTTAACAGTGCATAAATTTTTAATGAAAAATTTTTTATTAACATGATAATGGAGAAAATAAAATAACTATTGAATGATATTTATCATTAAATTCACTTGGTGTTACTTGTATCTTTCCATTGTTATTTAGGACTGCAATTGATCAGTCTCTTATTAGCATATGTGCATACTGTGAGAATTGCCTCAATATTGTTTGAAGTCACAAGCTTTATATACAATGATGTATAGTGACTAGCAGTGGAATCCGGGACGCGCGTTTCTTCCTATTTGAGACTCGTCAGCTGGATATACCTGTATCTCAGAGTTAATGGGAGGATACAATTTAACAACATCAAGTGAATTTAAAACTTTCCCCCATTGCACAAGAACGCAATGGCGTTTGAAGCGAACATTACTGGGTTCAAGTCCCAGAGTGGACATCATTTCTGAGATGCAGGTAGATCCAGCTGACATGCCCCAAATAGGACGAAACGCGCGTTTTGGATTTCTCACTAAATGTCTAAAATAAAGGTATGATACTGTAAAATCATCTTGGCCTTTTAAAGTGACTGTGACCTGAACTTTCTGGAATATTTAACTTAATAAATCACTTAGTAAATCACTTTGAAACCTACAACCGTCAGACACACTATTTGAAAATTATGATTTACCTATTTAGATTATGTTTTACTACATCAGATCAGTGAATTGGAAAGAGCAAAATCTTTCGAGATAAGTCTTTTCATTTCCATTATCAAATGTATTGTACTTGCCAAAACATAGAGATATATGAAAACTATTAGTTTATACCTTCAAAGATGATTATTTATCAAACTATGGCTCTTCATTTTTTTTACAAACGTGTGAATAACTAATATTATTATATTCAATAGGCTAATTACAAATAAGTAAGTTCTCCACTTATTACTAATTAATTAAAGTTGTGATAAACTGTTGATGAACATAGGTTGATGGAACCACTAGTTTAAATGAAGTTTATAAAATCTATTCTTTGTATATAGTTATAATCTTATTAGTTAACTAGCTATTTTTCATTATTTCAAATAATTCATATAACTAATTATCAAATAAATGAATTACTTGTATGACAATATATGGGATGATTTGACTATGAAAATGAAAAGTAATTGAAATGTATTTTCCAGTTGAGAATACAAGCAGGCAAATATAAGCTCCCAAATTCATTCAGTGCAACTATGCCACGTACTAACATATATTACTCGTATTGATAAAACCTTCATCAGTTGTCATTAATTCGTTCCCTAAATTACCTCATGATAAGACAAAAAAAATCTGCATTGTTTTGATTAATTTTTCACTTGACAAATAATAAACATACAAATCAATTACAGTATCCTCATTCACATTTGTACTTTAAATATGTTATTGTAATTTAGAGTACATATACAATGAAATTAATCTAATTAAGTTGGATTATTTTTATGATCACATGGTAGTCAATGACTTACTCTAGTTTTAAATGTCTAATTTATTAATAATTAGTAATTGTTGTGTCTACAAAACCAGGTACAGCTAATAACAAATGTGAGTATCTCGTTTACTGAATACTGATCAACGTCAAGAAGAAACTATCAACTAATTTGTAAATATTTATGATCAAATCATTTGTAGACTGACTAGAATTACACTGTCAGTGATATTTAGTGACTTAAATTGATTATAACATTTTAGGCTGTTAGGTGATATGGTAAAAGTTCAATCAATCAAAATTTCAGATAATATTGCTGTATATTCTGAATCATTTTATAAGATACTTTATTTTTTATTTGAATAAAATGGTATTAATTACTTAACCACCTTCCAATTATGATTTTAAACTAATTAAAATGTATATAAGTAGTTTGATATTTGTTAGATAATTGTTTTTCACAGTCACAGATAATTTATTATCTTCTTATATTCCTATGAATTCATCGGATGAATACCACTAGAGAAACAATCTCATTATTTTTCCATTCATACTAATCATTATAACCATTATAATCTACTCAATTATATCAAACAAATAGTGGCTATGTATATGATTTCAACCTAAAATTAAAAAGTAATTTACAAAATATCGGTTACTTATAAACTTTTTAAGAATGTAAAACAAATAAATATTCTATATACTATAATAACAGCAAACATTAAAATGGTAGTTAACTACCTCCAACCACCATCTTATCTCAACATAGTGCATGCAATGTCGAGTCACCTAGACTAGTGGTCACATTGCAACTTGGTCGATAGCATTCGATCTACACTAAGGACTTGACACATATGACATTGATCACCACCCAGTGATCAATCAATTGTAAATAACAGCAAACATTGTAAAGTCTGAAAACTGTAAGCACTAAAGTTGGAATTAAATAATCTAAGTAATATTAATAGGTAGTTGGGTAAGAACTCTTGGCTTCTAATATGAATGAAGGAATTCTGCTTTAGACAGGAAATAAATTAATTGTTTACATAGCTGTTATTTTGAAAGTTTGTTGAAAGAAAGCATATTATTTGGTAATATATTTCATACAAATTTCCGACTTAATACATTTTAACTTGTAAATCTACACAATCCTATTTCTGAGTTTTTGTAATCCCTTATCTCTATAACTTACTGTGGGTCAGAAATAACCTTCAAAGTCCTGAAAATCTAACTATTTGATTGTTCTTCAGCCCTTGAAATTACAAGACAAGCACAAAATAATTAATTTATACGAATATTCGTCAAGATTAGAACGAATAGTTTGACAGTAATTGAGCGCCGAGTATAGAGAAGTCATTATATGTGAAAATTATATTTGAAATATTCTTAGCGATTGAAATATAACTAATTCCAACGTTTCGTCCAGCTAACTTGTCTGGACTTCTTCAGGGTAATAATCGAAATCAAAATTATCAAAGACATATATAGCTTTTAACAATCAGGATTATACTATGTTAAACCGATCATATTTGGATGTTGATTTAGTTATATTTCAATCGCTGAGAATATTTCAAATATAATTTTCACATATAATGACAAAATAATTAAGTTTCTACCATTTACTTGATGTATTCGACATAATCTAATTTATGCTGAACTATTCTTATTTTAATTGAAGATCATATTTGGTACCGTGTATATCATTTGGTGAACAAAGCTTATATCATCAAGTTCCAAATGAAAAAGGATCATGGATACGATGGCTACAGGATAAATTTACGTCGATTTCTACCGTTGCACTGCCTATTTTCTATGCTCGTGGTCCCTTTCCGTATCGTAAACCAGTTTATACTGTAGGTATGTTCATAATTACATTGAAGTGTTGCAGTTTCCGGCTCTTGTAGGTGATCATTCACAAATTGTTAAAATTTGAATACTGACTACTTAGTGAATGATTCTTTAAGAAATGTTTCTTTTTTACACTCGACACATGGAGGAAATTCATGAAGTTCAATCGTTACGTTTTATGAGAACCCAATTTTTAACAACCATTTTCAAAAGTATATAGAATCGTATTTCTTGATTGCTAACCAGTCTTTGATAGCACATGGGTAACTCATATAGTTCCCTTAATGTCAGCTGAATTCATATGTTGGTTAGGTGTTCAGAAGCAGCTACCACTGAAGTCCAAGACTGGTGTCGTGTGTTTAACACTATGGGGTTTGAATCTACGGGCACTAAGTTTGTATCGTAGTAGATATATCTATATTGATGTGGAAGTGAATCTAGCTTAGGAGTCCATATAAAATAAAACCTTTATCATGGATTATAATGCTAACTACTATTTAATGTGAAATCGTTTTCAAATAAATAAAACCGCTTTACCTTTCAAAGTGAATCTGTGCAGACCACAGTCGTCATTGACTTACCTCGCAAAAAATCCATATTGTTTCTTTCAATTATTTTGTAAACATGTCGGGCATACGTGACCGTTTACAGCTACTCTTGTCAGTCAGCAAATTAAGTACAAAACTAATTTGGATAGGTAATATTTCGAGACACTTTAGCCTAATTAAACTATAGTGTCTGAAACTAAAGGCTACATTTTAAAAAACATCAGCGAAGGTACATATTGTCGTAAATTCAACCAGGTCAGTTTTTATAACTAAACAAGAATTTGTAGCTGAAAGTTCTACCGATTTCAGAAAATAACCTATCACTATCATGTTATATCTTGAAAAAACACACTTTTTTCTCACAGTTGGTGCTCCAATTCAATGCGAAAAAATAAATGAACCCACAGACGAACAGGTCGCACATATTAAACAAATTTATATAGAAAAGCTCCAAACACTATTTGAAGATTACAAGGTAATTTATGATCCAGAAGCTAATGATATTGAATTTGTATAAATGAAAAACTTATGTATTTTTGATTCATTTATCAAACTATCGTAATCATGTATTGAAGCATTGAATGGAAAAAGTTAAGAATCACTATTTATTGAATAGTACATTTTTAAAGATCACGATTGAATTGTATCTTTATTGGTAATTTTCTCTTAGTTAATTACAATACTTACTAAAAGTGTTTATCATCTTTTAAAATCGTAGTAGAGGAAATGTTACATGGACCAAATAGCCACTTTATAAAATATTGGGAAGCTCATCTATATTATATGTGTTTCAAGTACTATTGTTTCTCTACACCAACCAATAATAACAATGATTATCTTTCACATATTTTTTATTATCATACAAATTCATTACAATACTTCCTTCATGATCGTAATAGTCATGGTATAAGTGATTTGTTTCACACACTCAATTGGTGTTATGCAAACAGCATAAACGTTACATTTCAATCTTATGACTAGGACAGAGATTAAATGGTGACAAGACAATAAGATAAACCTAAATTGCATAACTTCAATTTCTAGTCACAGTACTCACAAATGAAAACTAACTAAATGAAAGAAAATTTAACTTTTTAACTGCATTCGTCAGAATAATTACGACAAATTAAAAATCATTCCTCCAGCTAATCAAATAATATTCAAATCAGGATGAATAGATTTTTGAACATCATGGAACAACCGAAATAATGTCAATTAACCAATCTTTAATAAGTTCTATTCCATAAAGTGGTCAATAATCATATTTCAAACGATACTGTAGATAAATTCACTTAGTATTGTTTAGATGAATCTTCCGATTTATGTTTAGGATTGCGATTAATCAGTCTATTATTGGTATATGTGCATACTCTGCGTATTACCTCGATATTGTCTTAATTCACAAGCATTATAAGCAAAGATGTATAGTGGCTAGCAATGGAATCCAGGACGCGTGTTTCGTTCTATTCGGGACTGTAGATAGAAAATTTTCCATGACTCCAATTACAGGACTGAGAAACTATTCAAAAATTTAGACACAGATTTAACAATCGTATAAAATATTTGGTGATAAACAAAACAAAAATGCATCAAAAACCTTCAACTTAACGGAAGTCGACAGCAAAAGTCATAAGGAAGAAATAAAAAAGCACAATGGAAGTAAGAGAAACAGATAAAAACATGCAAAATAAGTAAGAAACAAGAATAAAAAAGGACCACACGAAAGGAAGAACTAAAGACGTCAAAGAAGTAAGTGAGAAACAAAATAAAAAACAGCTTAAAATGAACGAACAAGCACCCAATATGCTCTTCGTCAATACGGTCACCGACAAATCGCTAATGACCACGATCGTCGTCACCCTATTCCCCTCATCTACATCATCATGACGGTGTTCAACACCACCGATTCGTTTGTAACCTCCTCACGTACCACTTGGCATCGACGAACAGACACACATTGAAATGCTGATGAACGCGCTCACCCGCGATCACACCCAAACGTGTGTTGATGAGACGATCATGTGATATTGTGTTTTTGGTGATTGACTCGCGACCTCACACACTGTTGTAGGTCTCGACCGACTTCGCGGAATCACATGCCTCTAACACCGACTACCAGATGTTTGTGTTCAGTCGGCTTTGATGAGAGCACTCCGTTTGTCCAGAGAGCGTATGAATGCGCATCATGGATTTGCATCGCGACAACTTCATTCACTTGGTTGTTGGCAGTGTGAATGTGCGTGTTCTTGTTAATGATGTTTTTGTTTTTGCTGTTGTTGATGTTGTTGTTGTTGTTGTAGTTGTTGTTGATGTTGATGTTGATGTTGGTGTTTCGTGTTTTTGTGGTAGATTGTTTGCATGTGCAGGCGAAGCATGCGTGTGAGTGTTTGTGTGTGGCTGTTTGTTGGGATTGTGGTGATGGTGGTGTTGTGCGTTGATTGTAGTGTTTATAGTTGAACGTGGTGTGGTGTTTTTTTTTTTCTATGTGTTATTCCGTGATACCCATATCCGAATTGGCAAATGCATTTGGAGCTACTGAGGATGGGTTTATTGTCCATCTTCTTTTGTTGGAATGTGCATCTTATTTTAAACTACTGTCATTCTGTTACAATTAAATCTAATTTTTTAGTCGATAAATTCTGCATACATTTTTCCGGATTAATAGGAAAGACGTTATGATTTTGTTCTTTTACATGTGTTTTGGTTTATATCTTTAAAAACTCAAAAGCCCATTATTATAATTTAACGTACAATATTTAAATCCTTAACAATTTTATCAAAAACAAAGGTATTCTGTTTTGAGTTTAGAGATAAGTACCTTAGTATATTCGATTTGAGAATTTGTGATACGTCGTAGATGTTTCAATGAAGGAGGTATTTTACGTGCATGTGCAACTTTTAAAAAATTGGCGAAGGAAGCAGCCATCATTCAAGCACTGTTCAATAACTTAAATCTCGTTGTTTCCTCCGATATCCTTCGGTAGATTGTCACCAAACGGTTGAAAGACATAAAAAAATGAACAAGGGAGCGACTCTACAGAAATTCCAAGCAGATGGTTACCATTATGAATTTCAACTAGACTAGAACGACGATTGAGACAAAATAATATGGATTTGTTGTATTTCGTGATTTCCCATCAGCTGCATACAACAATATATATAATGAAATATAAAATTGAGGTACGGTTTAATGTGAAACAATGGTAACTGATGATCGCAGTGATTAGAAATCATAAAAAGAATCACTTGAGTGAAATTCTACCCAGTATCCTAGTAACACCCGTCAACAAAATTCTCATCCGTCAGATGAGTACAGATAAAAATTCAAAACAAAATCACACAATACGCGATCTTACAAAAACGTTAAAAAACAATATCACTATTATTAAATGCATAGGTATATAAAGCAAGAAGTGATGATGATAAATTGGTGGATGAGTTTACTCCACCATTGGGTTTCTCAATCTCCGTCAGTTAACCAACGCGTCGGTGTGAGCACACGATCACTCGATAAGCACAGTATATTTCCAGTGTGAGTTCATCTGAAATGTGTGAGGGTGTACACGTGTCGAAATCCCAACAGTACATATTGACGTGGATGTCACAATTGTATCGACAGTGATGTCCGATCAAAATGAAATTTACGAAGGTGATCTCAGTAAAGATGTCGATCTGTTGTCGATGATACACACATCAGAATATACATGTGTGTGAGTGAGTGAGTGAGTGAGTGAGTGAATGCACAGTGTATACATCTGTACTGGCTTAGCTTCGTTAATCAATCAACTTGATAACCGTTATTATATAAATCCCACGGTGTTTGAAATCAGAAGGCAATGAGAAGCGGCGACTACAGTTCATTTGCGGATAGCACAGATAACAAAGCTACAAGCACATCATAGTGAAATCGAATAAGGCACAGCTAGGCAAGGCAAAGGCTAATAATAGGATTCGATTACATATATACATGCGGAGGAGAACGATTCATCCGGCGATATTTAAGCTATCAACATTTAACCTAGAGAGAGATATGTACGTAGACTGTCATCTGATCAACAGTACACGTTTATACAGACAAGATAGAGATGATAATAGTACAGAGAAATAGACGAATTGTTACTGTTCGAATAACATAGTCTGTTAAGTAAGTTAATAAAAGGGCTTAACCCAAATTAACCATAATCGGGATTGATTGTAGGAGAGTTGCTGCACATCTGTACATATGTAAATATATTTTAATATCAATATGCAATTGAAACCTGTACATGTGGAAACATCGATAGTGTATTGTGTGATTGACTATAGTAATTGTCGTCGGTACTCGTCCGACGGATGAGATTGATATTGACGGTGAGTGAGTGTGCATGATATTGGGTCGAGAGAGTTGTTTGTTGGTTTTATTAGTATATTGTGTGTTATAATGTGATTGATTGTGGAAAAGTGAAGGGGGCACCCGGGTTCGAACCGGGGACCTCTCGATCTGCAGTCGAATGCTCTACCACTGAGCTATACCCCCGGTTTCGCGACGGTCACAACTTCACTACCCGAACACAACACAACACCACACCACGTTCAACTATAAACACTACAATCAACGCACAACACCACCATCACCACAATCCCAACAAACAGCCACACACAAACACTCACACGCATGCTTCGCCTGCACATGCAAACAATCTACCACAAAAACACGAAACACCAACATCAACATCAACATCAACAACAACTACAACAACAACAACAACAACAACATCAACAGCAAAAACAAAAACATCATTAACAAGAACACGCACATTCACACTGCCAACAACCAAGTGAATGAAGTTGTCGCGATGCAAATCCATGATGCGCATTCATACGCTCTCTGGACAAACGGAGTGCTCTCATCAAAGCCGACTGAACACAAACATCTGGTAGTCGGTGTTAGAGGCATGTGATTCCGCGAAGTCGGTCGAGACCTACAACAGTGTGTGAGGTCGCGAGTCAATCACCAAAAACACAATATCACATGATCGTCTCATCAACACACGTTTGGGTGTGATCGCGGGTGAGCGCGTTCATCAGCATTTCAATGTGTGTCTGTTCGTCGATGCCAAGTGGTACGTGAGGAGGTTACAAACGAATCGGTGGTGTTGAACACCGTCATGATGATGTAGATGAGGGGAATAGGGTGATGACGATCGTGGTCATTAGCGATTTGTCGGTGACCGTATTGGCAATGAACATGGTGATGATAATTTGGTGGATGAGTTTACTCCACCATTGGGTTTCTCAATCTCCGTCAGTTAACCAACGCGTCGGTGTGAGCACACGATCACTCGATAAGCACAGTATATTTCCAGTGTGAGTTCATCTGAAATGTGTGAGGGTGTACACGTGTCGAAATCCCAACAGTACATATTGACGTGGATGTCACAATTGTATCGACAGTGATGTCCGATCAAAATGAAATTTACGAAGGTGATCTCAGTAAAGATGCCGATCTGTTGTCGATGATACACACATCAGAATATACATGTGTGTGAGTGAGTGAGTGAGTGAGTGAGTGAATGCACAGTGTATACTTCTGT